TTATGATCGCCACTGTACATTCAAAATAACATAAATTTGCTTTTGATAGAGCATAAACACGCAAAGAAAAATTAATGTATATAGGCTCTTTAATTTTAATAAAGTTGGACAAGTTCCACCTTCGCTTTTAATGACAAAGTAATAACGTATATATTTATCTTTTGGAAATTTTGACTTGTAACATTAATAAACCTTTCGTAACTCAATTCGACGGACTGAATTGACTCGTAATCTCAAAAAGGCTTATTGAGACTCAAAATTCTGTGTAATGGCCTCTTTATGTTTTAGGGACTTGATCACGTGATTTCCGTTCGAAGGTTCTTTCATCTAAAGAAAAGAATTATTTTGAGAAGAAAAGTAAACCGCCCACCTCCTTTGGCATCACCAACATCAGCTGATTTATAAATAGCTGAAATAAAATATAGTTTATCATTAAAAGTATCAGTATTGACTTTCAATCACGAGCATATTAATCTTCGTTCTTAGGAGTGATTTATTTAAGTCTCACAATCCCTTCCGTTAAACATCATTATCAATCAATCATACCGCTTTTAACCCGCTCTAAGAAGTATTACTTCTTCGTGATATCATTTCCGAATTATTTTAATTCATAGTTTCTTTATTTCATGTATACATTTTTAGTTATTATCAGTGCTTAAATCATATTAAGTTTATTTTTCGTTCCCAGAGTGATTAGTTTAAGTCAGATTTATAGCTTTCCTTTATTTATATAAACCCCAATCCCGTAATCGGTTGGAGTTCAAATTGGTCCCAAATACAATCGTTACAATACGGACACCCTACCCTTAAAGGTGGTTATTCGCGGAGATAATAAGTAAACTCCCGCCCGTTATAAGATGGCCAGAAGGGCCGGATTTAAGCGGAGATCTACCCGCAGTAGAAAATAAGAGTGTTATTCTTCATTTTATATGTCATTACGGCGAATCATATAATTTGTAGTGGTGATTTTTGCATCTTCATACAATATTAATAAGAAATATTAATAAACAAGATTAGTGTAGTAATCTAATCTGGTTACACCCTCTTACTATATAATTTGGTCATTCAACTATCCGGATCTTCTGTATTTTCTGAAATAAACTATTCTGTACGATCTACTATTGGGTATTTTATACGTTTTATACCCTTGTTGTACCGATTTGTCATCGTGATAAAACCAGTCAATGCCATAAAAATATTTAAGCTTATGACCATTACTAATCGTTTATACGCTTTGGAGGATAATCAGATCCACTTCCATAGTCACGAAACTCATTTTAAAAGAAGAATATACGAAATTAATTTTAGAGGCGATAATTGGTTTAAAAATTTAAATCGGTTTTTTTCTTATTTAATCTCTATATTATTATAATAACAGGTTATTTTTTTTTACAAGAATTAGATATACTTATCTAATTTTATTTTAATTAAAATGCATTACGGCGGATTTGTCACAAATTTAAGTTTTAGGGGCCAAATTTATTAATGATTTTCTAAGATTGAACCCTCCAAATAAATTATTAGCACTCCGATCTATAATAACAATGCGCCTAACCCATTAATCAATTATCACAACCCATTTCAAATTTATTGTTATTACTATTAAAATGATTTTTTAATAAAAAGTATTTGTATATTTTTTGCGTATATCATTGTTTAAATCAAAATAATAAATCAGAGGGTCGAAAATGAGGATTGACTAAGTTAACATATTTTGTCAAATATTATATTGATTATATATTGATGTCGATATATATGAAGTCAATTAAATGACTCGCATGCGGTAGTCAAAATTTTCAAATTTTGGTTCTTACAAATGCGCCGTAATGAATTGTCTAAATATGCTTACAATACAGGGCTCATTTAAATATACCTATAAAAATCATATGCATGATTCTCAAAATTCGTGAAAATTCGTGCGCATGTCATCACTAGTTCTAATAATAATTGACAGGTTTGAATATTTTTTAAAGATATCTTTTATGTAATAAAACGAGTAATAAACTAATGGTTTGAATGGATTCTATAATAATAATAGTAATACTATAATAATAATAAACATGTTGGTGCAACTTAGGGCTGTGACATATATTACGTAATATCCATTTACTATGAGGGCTCCCTCCCCCGCATAAGATCCAATATTTAAAAAAATCAGATTATACTAATTTTCTTTGTGTACCGTAAGATATTAATATAATTAGTGATGGGACCTCCTGAATTATTAATAATTAATAATGATTATTAATTGGTTGATTGAATTACTAACTAATAACTACTTAATATATGGCGCAGCTAATTAGTACAGGATGAACAAAAAACGAAAAGATTGCGCCAATCTTTTCTCAAAAATTGCTGAGATATTGGCGGACTAAACTTTTATTAAATCAATTGGTAGTTTATTTAGTTCATCATATCGATATTATTAACGATTATCGAAGTTATTAACTATTAATAATATTAATAACGCATTATTAATTTTTCATTATTAACTAAAAACTCTGAAGTCCCATCACTATACACCCATCCCCTAAAATATCACGTAATAAATGTCACATAATATGTGACATTTAATTAGTCTAACAATCAGTCCGTTCAGTCTCATACTAATCAGTCCTAACCAGTCTTGGACCGCAGTCCGGTCTAACATTTCAAAAGACTCCACCTTTTGACTAAGACGGACCGGACGGACCAATTAGCAGCCATAAGCATGAGCCGGTAGTCTCCCGCCAGGCTGGATATTAAATAGGAAAATAGCAGAATCAGGACCCTGTGGCGGGTGGGATGAATCAAAAAAAAATTTGACAGTTAAAGTAGTGTTTAAAATCTATATGCAGAATCTGCGGTGCGCAGAATAAAAACTCATTCTACAAGCTAAATTTTCTTGGAGTCTGCAGTGCGCAGAATGAAAATTCATTCCGCAAGCAAAATTTTCTTGGAATCTGCGGATGCCATGTGTCATACATCTCTTTTGTGAAATTTTAAATTGTCTTCCCGACATTTTATGTTGGTATTTCAAGACAGGTTTAGACTGCAGTTTTTCATATTTTTGCATTTTCCTTATTTTATAACTTCTTCGAGCTGATCCGTGTAAACGAAATTTCGCGATACCGGTTGACTGATTTACACAAAAAATCACATGGGTACATGGCTTTAGATATTATATTAATTTCAGGTTATTTTTATAGGTTTCTCAGATTAAGATTACTTTGAAATTTTGCTCTTGTATTTTAAGTTTTTTTTTCAATTGTGTATTCAGAATATTTCAAAAATATGCCTATTTAAAGTTTTGTTTAATATCTAAATTACTATTAATAAATAAGAAATATGCATGTTCTCGTAAATTTTCTTTAATGTTATAAGTTCTCAGCCATGCACTATACCCGAATCTATTATAGGTTTTAATGTTGGTGGATATAAGAGAGGTCTTATATACGGCAGCTTATGGTATATCATTTAAGCACTGACCAAAAATTAATCTTAATGTTGGCCAAATTATTTTTAAAGCTGCTACTTTATTATTAAATATTAATAAATAACCTGAAGTCGTGTTAAAACTGAGAGTAGATGCATCAGTAAATTGTATTCATGATTGGAAATTTAAACTTTTAACAGTTTATTGTTTATAGTTGACAAATTATTTACATAGCAACTGACCTTAAAATTTATACTTACGCATATCTTATACTATAAATAATGCATACAATTTGCATTTTACTATCGAAATAAACTCTAGAATATAAATGCTAAGTTCACTAAGTAATCTCTATAAAGATAGAAAAACAATAAATCTATATGGTGTGAAAATCGCAGACGTACTCTTTACTCCCATAAAACTCTGTTCTCGATATACCTGTGCAGTAACACATAAAAATTCATCTAAGCCCAATTTGCATTCAGGTATGGCCACGCCTCGTGTTTGATTATATGGAAGAATATTAATCTAAGCCTAATACAATGTGAACGTGTTAAAATATTTGATTGGTTGGTTAAACAGAGATATGCGTCTTAATAATATTTGATTAATAATTTATGATTAATGATTTATAATTAATCCAAGCCTGACACGTTATAAATATTTGATCGGCCAGTGGAACAGACGGACGTTTGAGTTTTAATATTATGAAATAAATATTATGATGATGATTATTATTATTCTTTATTCCAGTTGCAGAAAGATGCATTCTGGATTGTTAAGTATATTAATCATATTTAGATAATTTTTTAAGTCCCATTTGTTGAATATGTAGGCCTTTAGATGTAGGGTGTTAATATTTTCAAATTCTTATAAAACAATATTATATGATATTATGCAAACATCTTATGATTCAACCAATCAAAATTAGCAATTCTTTGTACTATTTAGAAAAAATTGTTGCAGCCTATCGTGTATATCAGAGTGGCCCGCCGAAGTCCGGGTCAATGATTGACCCGGACTTTGGGGGACTGCCCTGATATACTCTTTATGCGTACAAAAAAAATTTTAGCCTTTAGCTCCATGTTTTATTGTACGTACGATGGTAATTCTGATAAATAAACTTATAAATGACATTGAATTCATTGAATTTAGCTTTATCCTCGAATAATTAATTTAAAATGATTTTCGAATCTAAATATCCAAAAATAAAAATTTCTCAAGAAGGAATTTATCACTATGTGACTAGTAATCCTAAAAAAATTCCTGATGATAAGGTTATTTATATAGATGGAATTACTGGTAAAAGTTATACTTACGGTGAATTTAAACATGAATCGAAAAGGTTAGCTGCAGGATTACAAGATAAATTAAAATTTAAGCGTGGGGATGTCTTAGCGATATGTTCACCTAATCAGGTACTTATTAACTCTTTCATTAATTATGTAATTAATTATGTTATTAATTCATATATTTATTTTATTAAGATTGATTACTCTATTGTGCTCTTGGGAACGATCGCAGCCGGTATTAATATAATTTTCATGTGAATTAAATAATACTGTTAATATTTCAACTCGAAATAATGTTTATGTATCTAATAGGTGGAAAAGTAACGACTGCTAATCCAAAATACAGAGCAACTGAATTATCATATCAACTAACCGACTCAGGTGCATCTGTTCTGATCGTGCATCCAGAATTTCTTGAAACTGTCATTGAAGCTTCAATTGAAGCAAAAATCCCCACATCCAGAGTATTATTATTTGGTGATGAAGAAATAAAAGGGTACAAGCCTTATCACTCTGTTTTAATCGGTGATCGTGAAATTGAGCCGGTTTCTTATACTTCCGAAGAAGCAAGAACAACGACCGCTTATTTACTTTATAGTTCTGGTACAACCGGAAAGCAAAAAGGTGTTGAAATTACTCACACAAACATGATACACCCTTTTACTTGCCGTTAAACCATACTCTATGTACTTTGTACTCCGTTCCTGGTAAGTCCGGATAACCAGCTAGGTCTCAATTTAATTTTATAAATAATCTGGGTTTAAATTATCTAGATACACTATTACAATTGCTAGTTGTACTACCTACAGAAATATAATGTTCTTTCGTACGTGTGTAAGCATAGATGCTATAATTTGACGAAGAGTCGTGTGAACTGATTTCATGATCTATTTTAGTTAGTCAGTTTAAATGACAATATGTACTAAAAAAGACATTTTTTATAGCACTTAAATCGAGACAAAAACCTGTTAAATCGATGTATGGTTAAACAATTCTCATACAATGGATAAATATAGTGCTATGTGATACACACTGTGATATTTAAGTGCAGAAATTCACATTTTTGCTGTGTTTTAGCACCTTGTCCAATCAGATGTAAGATTTTGCGGACGCACACATTTAAAAATGCCATAGTAACTATAAGTAGCTGCGTGATATTGTCGTGCTAAACCAGGAATGGACGACAACTCCAATACAGAATAGTTATATAAGTAATAGTTTTAAATTCAATTCAGATAAATAAATATTGGGTATAAAACTAAACAAACAAAAAATTTTTATATGTATATAGTATAGAGTGTAAAATACTTCTTTAAAAAACATAATATAAGAATTCACTACAATTTTCCAATGTTAACCTTAATAATACATAATGTCAGAGCAGATATTAAAAATAGAGGTAGGTATTTACACCCTATACCGTACGGATCCATTCATAGTAATCTGCATAATTTAGAAATGATCTTGGCAGATGATAAT